TGAAATATAACATGGAGGAAGCTGGAGGTCATTATGCTGAGTGAATTTAGTCAGTCACAGAAGGACAAATATTGTATAAGACCACTATTATAAGAACTCATGAAAAGGTTTAAACACAGAAGAAAATATTCTTTGATGGTTACGAGGGTGGGGAGGGAGGGACAGTGTTATTCACTAACTAGATAGTAGACAAGAATTCTCTTAGGTGAAGGGAAGGACAGCACACACTAAAGGGGAAGTCAGCACAACTGGACTAAACCAAAGCTAAGAAGTTTCCTGAATACAACCAAACTCTTTGAGGGACAGAGTAGCAGGGGCACAGGTCTGGGGACCATGCTTTCAGGGGACATCTACGTCAACTGGCGTAACAAAGCTTATTAAGAAAATGTTCTGCATCCTACTTTGGTGAGTGGCATCTGGGGTCTTAAAAGCTTGCAAGCGGCCATCTAAGATGCAGCAATTGGTCCCAACTCACCTGGAGTAAAGGAGAATGAAGAACACGAAAGGCACAAGGCAAGTATTAGCCCAAGACACAGAAAGGGCCACATAAACCAGAGATTGCATCAACCTGAGGCCAGAGGTAGATGGTGCCCAGCTACTACCGATGACCGCCCTGACAGGGAACACAAGAGAGAGTCCCTAATGGAGGAGAAAAGTGGGGTGCAGAACTCAATTTCTAGTAAAAGACCAAACTTAATGGTCTGAGACCAGAGGAACCCCAGAAAGCATGGCCCCTGGACTCTCTGTCAACCCAGAACTAAACAATTCCTGAAGCCAACTCTTCAAAGATTAGACTGGACTATGGGACATAAAATCCTATTTGTGAAGAATGTGCTTCTTAGCTCAAGTAGATACATGAGACTAAATGGGCAGCTCCTGTCTGGAGGTGAGATGAAAAGGCGGAAAGGGTCAGGAGCTGGTTGAGTGAACACGGGAAATCAGGGGTGGAAAGGAGAAGTGTGCTGTCACAGTAAAGGGAGATAGCTAGGGTCACATAACAATGTATGTATAAATTTTTGCATGAGAGACTAACTTGAATTGTAAACTTTCACTTAAAGTACAATAAAATAAAATTTTTTTAAAAAAGAACTTATTTTCTGTTAAGATGAGGATTTATAATACTGATCTCTTTTTACTATTTAATGACAGATTTATTAAGTTAAATTCAACCCATTCACTTAATAATGAAATTATGTTGATTAAATAAAGCAGCTTCTTTTGGGGGGAAAGGCAAGAATTAGACATAAAGAAAGGATAATTTTAACATTTGCTTTTTAAGTTTGTTGAGAAGTTCAGCAAATGTTTCTCTTTGGGCTAAGAGACTAGAAGGCAAAATCATCCAATGGCTTGCAATACTGAGAGACCTGCTGCTAACCAAAATGTCCACAGTTCAAATCCACCAGCCGCTCCTTGGAAATCCTATGGGGTGGTTCTACTTTTATCCTATTGGGTCGCTATGAGTTGGTACTGACTTGATGGCAACAGGTTTGTTTTGGTACCACATGACAAATGAATATTCCTGTTCTTATAAAAACATCTATGCACAAAAGAAAAGACAATGATACATTAGTATTTACATTTATTTTCATGTATGCAATTTACACACTCACTATTAAACACAACTGGAATGCAAACACATATACAGATGTCATAATAAGCATTATCAAATAAAATAACTGGCACTAGTGTTATAAGCATATTAATGGACCTGGTGAGGAAAAGTGACGGAAGAAGACTGCAGCCCATGGCATTTTTGTTTTTACCAAAGAAAACACTCAGTAGCACCATAACGGCAATACTTAAAAGAAACACATAAAATGGAACATTTTAACTGCTATCATTGAAGTTATCCTGCTTTATTTGAGTAAATTTTACAGGAAGTTAACAGTACAGGCAGTATTTTGGCCAACTTCTGCTTATGTCAGTTGAACATCTTCCATAAACAAATGCAAAAGGAAATAAAGCCAACCATACGTGGACCCCTCCTTTTGTACTTGTACAAGCTCTGCACCACGCTTTGACTTCACATTTCAAAAAGATATGCATGTGTTTAAAAACTGAGGTTATGTAAAGTTATTCACTAAAGCTCATTATATCTTTGGTAGGCTAATACTTTTTCAGCATTATTATTAATCACATTCATGTTTCTCTATTTCTTGTACTTTTCTATATAATCCAAGGTGGCTAGAGAGGACATTATGGAAAACAATACAGCAAAGTCCTCAAAGAACTAGGCCCTTAAAACTCAGTCTATTACAAAGGCACCAAGAAATCAACGGGGTGCAAACTTCCCCTCAATGAAAGATGACTTTTTTTTTAATACTTATAAACTACTGGAATTTTATTTTGCAGTTTTATATATCTTATTTGTTGCTGTCAGTATACTTAACTACCTACCATTACACTTTTCTTCTAAGATGGCATCAACAATATACAAGATATATAGAGTACCAGGTATTTCTATTTCAAAGTTGTGCAAAAACTGCCACAATCTTGCTCAAAGTGTCTAAGTATCCAAGTGGTAGCAAATGGGCTGCATTAAGCTTTATATATCCACATTGTATATCAAGAAAAAAATGAAATTTATGCTCAGTTATGAATAAAAATGTTACAAAGAAAATAATATACTGAGAGTAACCTGCAAGGTTCTTTTAAACAGTATACTTTAGTGGTTTCAATACAATGTCACTAACCACTTATCCCTAAGCATCAAGTTTTCTTTATAAGAATGTTGTAGAATTGCATTAGTATTTTATATTGATTATAAATTAAGCCAAATTTCTATCTAAGTACACAAGTATGCGCTTCAACCCATGTTTTGTGACCAACACACAAAACATGCTTTGCTCTTAAGATTTATTGTCCTTATAATAATGCACTTTTAAAGCCTTCATTTCAGTTTGGTAACTAAGATTCACATGAAACACCTTGCTTTGCTGAACACAGAAAATGCATCTGCATTAAATGATTACGAAACCTGGCTCTTGCCGGTAACTAGAAACTTAGTCACGTGTAGTTCAACCAGCTCCAAACAAGGCTGTTTAGTGGTACTTATTATGCAGCATTTATTGGCCTAAATTTCAGTCTGAATTGCAACTTTCAACTCCATTGTCTGATTTGAATGATTGTTATTTGTTTCTTTTAGTGCATCACTAAAATATAAATCAACATTGGGAATTATTCCATTGTTACCATGTTCTTCAGCAATATGATGCAACTGTGGAACTTCTGAACATGAAGCAGTTTTGGTAAGCACAGAAATGCTACACTGATGTGGGGAATTTTCCAGACGGTCATTTTCTACCTCAGGAAGAATGCTAACAGTAGCAAAGCGGGCATGATAATCACTGGAACCATGACTACAAGAAGTTTTCATGCTTTCTAGGTCAGAACAACTAAATTCAGAGAAATGACTTGAATGGGAATCAGCTACAGACGGCATACTGTCACTGAGGGATGGAGCCTCAAATTCACTGGAGTTTGTGCTTTGTTGTTCCAACAACTGTGCATCCATGTCTTCTCTGGTCTCATTTATCTTCATATTACCCTTTTTCCTCAATTTACCACTTTTTGATTTTTTTCCTGCTGTTGCTTCTTTGGACCACTTGGTGGCACTGGATTTACCTTCAGGCAAACCACTAGATGCACCACCAGTATGACTTCGGGCGGCACTGCCATCATCCACACTACTGCTTCCACTATTGTGCCTGAATTTGGATGGCTTTGATTCAATATCCACTTGCACCTCCATACTGTTGCCTTCTCTGAAACGTAAGAGTAACAAATATAAATACAATTTGACTTTTTTATTTTTATTCAGTTGACAATAAAGGCGGACGGAGTCTTGTGTGAAAAATTAAAAAGACTATATAAAAGCTTTCAGAACAAATTAATGCATAATACATTCCACTAAAAATAAAAACAAAAAACCCAACCTACTTGAATAAAAGGACTTTACTTCCATTTTTTAAAAAAATAGTATAGCTTATTCCAGGTACTTTCTTTTTAGAACAGCTTTATTGAGATATAATTTATATACCATAAAATTCACCCTTAAAAAATGTGCAATTCAGTAGTTCTTTAGTATATCCACAGTCGTGCAACTGTCAGTCCTATCTAGCTCCAGAACATTTTCATCACCCCAAAAAGGAACCCCCATGTCCATTACAGTCACTACCCATTTTACTCCTCCCAGCCCATGCAGCCACTAATCTACTTTTTGTCTCTTTTATTTGTCTATTCTGGATATTTCATATAAATGGAATTATACAATCTGTGGTATTTTTTGACTGGTTTCTTTCATTTAACATAATGTTTTCAAGGTTCACCCATGATGTTATAATGCTTTAATTTTTTTTTTTTTGGAGGGGGCGAAGGCTGGTTTCTTCTTCTAAAATGAACTTCTTTACTAAATAAAAGCTCTGCCATTACTGGAAAATATTTGTATATACTCTATAATCATTAATATATAAAATACTTCATCTCAACATTTAAAATCATTAAAAAGTAAGCACTGCCAGCTCTGATAATCTTTTAACACAATTTCTCACTATTTTCTTTTCCCAGAGAACTTAATAGTTGGTATCCATTATTCACTGGTAATTTTACCTAACAACATGGTTAAGTCTTTTTAAATTACTAGAACAGATTCTCATGATTATATAGCAATTCTTTGCTTACTTGTCCAATGGGATGTAGGAATTCAGAATAGATCCTGCCATTGCTTTGGTGCTGGCATTGTCACTAACTGTTCCCAAGCTGACTGTGCCAGATTCTCCACTTAGACTGTACTGTTCTTTCTGCACATCTGCTTGTACTTCCAACCTTAAAGAGGGGCAAATCAGATAAAAACTGAGATTATATGTAATATCAGCACTATATATGTAACATGTATCTTTAAATAATTCTGTTAAGAACCCTCATAATGAGAAGCTATTTTAAAAACAATAATAAACATTATTTTTTTAAGGTTTCCACTTATATTTGTTTTTATTTTTTTTATTGTACTTCAGGTGAAGGCTTACAGAACAAATAGTTTCTCATGAAACAGAAGTACACATGTTGTTTTATGACATTGGTTAACAATCCCACAACATATCAACCCTCTAACTTCTCAACCGTTTTTTTTTGGTGAAAATACACATAGCCAAAGATACACCATTTCAAAAATTTCTACATGCACAGTTCAGTGACACTGACTACGCTCTTCGAATTGTGCTGTTATTCTCACTTAAGATGAAGGCTTACAGAACAAAATAGTTTCTCATTTAACAGCTACTACTGTCTACAGCCATACCACCCTGAACGCACCCATCTCGTCTGATCTTGGAAGCTAAGCAGGGTCGGGCCTGGTTAGCACTTGGATGGGAGTCCACTTATATTTGATTATTCAAATTCTACTACAACATACTGAACAGTACCAGCCATCCAAACAGAATGGGAAAAATAAGGTATCTGCAAAGTAAAGTAGTAGCAAAATGACACACACAAAGAACAAAAATAAGCTCCATTACTCTTACTCACAATGTGGCATTTTGCATGCCATGTGTCAATGCAAAACATAAAATCAGAATACATTATCAACCATGATACATGACTCAGTGTGACTCAAAAAATCCTGGGCGTATACCTCAAAAATGGTTCTACAGATAACATTTGACACTTTAGATAAGAGATAATAATAAACACCACTATAACTTAGGAAAAGAATTTGTGTTTAAATACAAACTACCTAAAAATAAGGTAAACATGACTAATTTATATTTTTATTCATACCCTCACAATATAAAAATTAAAAACAATCAAATCAATAAGAAGTACAGAATAGTGAACTGAAGAGGAAACAAAGGAAGATAAAATGTGCTAATTTCTCCTACTCATCTATATATGGCTGCTGGTAAAAGGCTTGGTGAGAATGAAATAACCATTAGTATTTAAAAGGACCCATGCAGACTATCCTGGCCATGGTTTATGCACTGCCAGATGCCCTGACTCAAATCTGTTCTCCCCTGGCTTCAGTGAACATCTCACCTCCTAACATCCAGCTGTTGCCACCCCTAGAGGTAAGGTCTAGGCTTAAGCACTCCCTTAACTGTGTCCAACAAAGCAGCTCCAGCTCTGACTAATAATAAAAAATCTGACAAATGGCAGTGAACAAAACTGGCCAAATGTTACGCCTTTGACTTAGTTTTTATCGCATCCTGGGTATATTGTGACAGAAAATACAAAAAACAGTAAAAATCTTACTCACTACCCACCGTTAAAATCTCATTTTTTAACATTGCTATTTTCAGCCCTGACACGGTAAGGTTATATGTAATCATCATGATTTGTGTTCTAAATTCTCCTCATCTAATTCTTAATTTCTAGTTAACATAAGGTAAAAATCAAAACAAAACACACTGTTGTTTCTTACCTGTTAAAACAGTTAACCATGGCACTTCCTGACAGACTCCCTGTTATACTAGCTCCAGCTAGTGCCATGGTGCTAGCCGTTTCACTCAAGTTGTCTCGAATGGCTCCTATTCGATCCATGTGGCTCCCACTTGCACTCAAACTGCCAGTCAGACCACCAACACTTCCCTCTCCTATGCTAGGATTGTGTCTCGCTTCTGCTACTGAAGTTGTGTCTAAATGAAAATATTTCAAAGAAATTAAATAAATATGATTATTAATATCCCCTGTCTTGGATAGAACATATTATTATGAAGTACAAAACATATACAGAATAGAAAAGATTCTGGAGTCAAGGTAAGAGTAAAGGGAAATATCTTAGCAAGCAGAGCTGGATCAGGGAGAAGCCCTCAATTCTAAATGGTCACTAATTTTTTAAACAATACAGAAGATTAAACCTGGTTATTGAAGAATTTAGCTAACTCTGGAGGAAAACTATGTTTCAGTTTTCAAAATCAGTGTCATTTAAAGAGCATATTATTCTCTGGGTTGGTAAGAGTGGGCCAAAGTTGATTTCTAGATATATCTCACAGTCCCAATTGTCTAGAAGCTATTACAAGATCTAATAACACTATATTCTAATCTTACGGTACTTTTCACATGCTTTGTATTGAAAGATTCATTTATTAACTCCAATATTTGAGTTCTACTATATATACCTAACACTGATGTAAGCACTGCAGATACAGTGAACCAAAAAAACAAATACCTTGTCCTAAAGAAGCTTACATTCTAGTTGGGGAGGAAGGAAATGGGACAGGAGACCAATACATAAAATCATATAGTGATAAATGCTATAAATAAAAATAAAACAGAGTAAAGGGGAGTGAGAATAATGAGAGTGTGTGTGAACATGCCTGTATGCCATTTTATACAGCGTGATCAGAGAAGAACTCTCTGATAAGGTAAACTTGAGCAGAGACTCAAAGGAAGTGAAGGAGAAAGTCATGAAATTATTTGGGGGAAGAGCATTCCAGGCAGAGGGCATGACAAGTTTAAAAGCCTAGAAGGGGGATAGTGCTTGGCATGCTCAAAAACACCAAGGTGGGGTGGTATAAAAAAGGAGAGTGGCAAGAGATCAGTTCAGAGACGTAGCCAGGGACCAAGTTCATGTGGGGCCTTACAGGCTATAACAAGGACTTTGGATTTTTTCCCCAGTACAGTCAGAAGCCATTGGGGGAGTTTTGAGCATAGGAAAGACATGATCGGACTTAAATATTTCAGAGGTGCCACTATAGCTACACTGTGGAAAAGATCTTCAGTGAGCAGAAGCGGGGATGGATTATCCAATAAGCAAGGTAAGCACGGGCTTACTTGTGCTTACTTATTAATCTGCAGTGAATGATACTACATTGGTTTCACCAGCCCTGGTGGCATAATCGTTAAGAGCCATGGCTGCTAACCACAAGGTCAGCAGTTCAAATTCACCAGCAGTTCGAATTCCTTGGAAATCCTATGGGGCAGTCTACTCTGTCCTATAGGGTTGTTATGAGTCGGAATCAACTTGATGACAGCGGGTTTGGGTTTTTTTTGGTCACCACACCACATCAAAGTGAAACCCATATGAAATTGCTCACTACAGGTTAGTAACTAAACACAAGTAAGCCCGTGTTTACTTCGCTTACTGGGTCATCTGCTCCTGTCAGTGACTGTAAATTTGAAGAGAGACTTTGATTCTATAGGAAGGTGCTGTGGGGTTGGGAGAGGGACAGAGGCCAGCCATACTTAGAAGCAAAATCTTTAATGTGTGAAAAAACGTGAAATTGTTCACTACAGATTAGTAAGGAAGCACAAATAAGCCCGTGCTTACCTTATTAGATAATCTGCGCCTGAGCAGAAGCTGAGAAAGTGAAAAACGCAGTTAGGAGGCTATTACAATAGTCCAAGAAACAAGATAGAAGCCTGGACTAGTGGAATAAGAGAGAAAAATGGTTGGATTGTGGCTAAATATTGAAGGAAGAGTAAACAGAACTTGCTGATAGATCAGATGCAGGTTATGAGGAGAAAAAGGGAGTCATCAATAAACGAAGGTATTTGGCTCAAGCAATAGGAAGAATGGAGAAGCTACTTATTGAGATAAGGACGACTGAGGGAAGAACAAGTTTGAGAGGGAAGAGTCTGGCTGCAGACAAGTTAAGCATGAAATTCTTTTTACACATCTAAGTGCATATTAAAGAGGAGAGTTGCATATATACAAGTCTAAAGTTCAGGGGAGAGTTCTGGCTTAGATATAAATTTGGGAGAGGTCAGTCTATATCCCGTTTAATAGATGAGATCACCTAGGATGATTTAGGTAAGTGTAGATAAAGAAGAAAAGAAGTCTGAGAACTGAGCCCTGGGAAACTCCAACATTTAGAGGTTAGGAAAGGAAAATGAACCAGCAAAGACTGAGAAGGAATGACCATTGAGATATGCTGAGATGAGTAGTGGTTTCCAAAAGACAAGTGAAGAAAATGTTTCAAGAGGGAGGGTATGGTCTATACCATGTCAAATGCTAATGTTACATTAAGATGAAGGCTAAGAATTGACCACTTTATTTGGTAACATGAAGGTCACTGGTGACTTTGCTTTGGTGAAGTGGTAGAGATGACATCCTGCAGTGATAGAGACCAAAATCTGACTGGAGTGAGTTCAAGAGAGAATGGGAGGTAGGAAGGTACACATTTATCTTTGTATATCTGCCTGATGTTTCTTTTATTATTTCTTATATAACAAGAATTGCTAGACTGTAGAATATTTTTTTAAGTTTATTTATTTACACTCCACCGGCAGTCTATGAAAGCCTACTTTCTTACATTCTCTTCAATAAAATATTTTCATTATTCTTAACTTCTGCCAGTTAGTGCTCTAATTCAATTTCTTTGAATAACATTGGGTTGAAGATATTTTCTATTTATTGGCCATCTGTAGTTCTCTTTTATGAACCACATGCTTCTTTGTATCCTTTTATTACTGATTTGTAATGTTTTAAGGGATGAGGATGGTGCAGGACCGGTCAGTGTTTCATTCTGTTGCACATAGGCTGCTATGAGTCAGAACTGACTCGACAGCCCCTAACAACAACAACAAGCCAAATTTAAGATGAAAAATCTACAATTTCTAAGACAATATATGCACAATGGAAGTTGCTATTGTTGCTGGCTGCCATCGAATCAATTCTGACTTGTTAGATACCCAGAAATATTTCACCCTCTTTGATCCATACACCCCTTTCCTCAACAGTTCATTTCACTGATCTACTTCTAAATGAACACTATTAGGTCTAACAAGAGGAGAGCAATGGAAATTCTGACTTGCATATTATCTACAGCTTCCCCATGCCACCTGAGACTATAAACTACATTTTCTTTCTTTGCTTAAAGGACTCACCTACAGCTGTATTAGTTCCACCAACATTTATATCATTTTCATCATCGAATTCAATCCTGACTCCTTTTCCATTTCCTGCTGAGACTCCACAACCTCCACTTCGACAGAGAGAAATTGGAACAACGCCATAGACATATGCTAACATAATAGGGACACCAATACCTAAAGAGAAATTCAGTTAGCCATAAACCAAAACATATATCACAGAAACATGAGATTTAGAAAGTCTTTTCAAGAGAACATGTACAGGGGGAAGTGCTAGGGTTATGAAGATTTGGCAAAACAGCTGCCAAAAATGGATTTACCCAGCTGTTAAGGGGCACAAGCAAATTCAAGGCTCCCAGTCTTTCAGGTGATGGACACCCAAGGGAAAAAATAAGATAAAGAGACATGAACTTTACTCTTTTTAAGTGACAGAGCTCTGAACTATACTGGGGCAGGGGTAGACGGAAAATCAGCTACTAACAATTTACCAACTACCCTGAGGCTAGGCTCTTGAGTCTACAATACTTTTAAGCAATACAGTTACTGAATGAGAGGCTTTCTGAAGGCTCTGCTTAAATTGTCCTTAAATTAAAAATTAAAGTAACCCTCTCATCAACAATAAGATAATGCCTTGTTTTTAAAATCCTTTCACAAAATTTTACCGTTATAAGATTTGAGATGATTAATATTTTTAAAGCATTTTCTTACCTACAGTTACTGCAGCTACTACTGGAGATACGATTACAGACAAGGTTACGCCACCTGCTATGGCCAAATTCCTTTTGTGCTTTGAAACATCCTTGCCTTCATATCGATTGTGAATCTTGAATTAAAAATAAAAATGGAGGAGAGGGATTAAAGAGAAAATACATATTTGAGTTTGATGAAACAGACCTTATATTTGCTAGAAGTTTAAAGTGATTTCTTACATAATTTTATAGTTGAGTGTCCTAATTCAAGGTAATCCTTTTATTGTTCTTAAACCGTATTTTCACAAATAATTTACTCCTTATTAATAATTTACTTGCATAAGACTATTGATTTAACAGATATCACTCTGTTTACTTTTCATTGACCTTAAAAAGCAGTTCTAATCAGTGATTACTAAATAAAATCACTTTTCTTTCAGATGCCTTTTTATAAAGAAAAATATTATTGAACAACTCAGGATGCTGGCTCTCATTTACAGCTCACAGTAGGGGGTAGAGAGAGAAAATAACAGCTACCAGAGAACAGGTATTAGATCTGCACAGCATCTTTGTACAGTACAGGTATTAATAAATATATTTTAATATCACCATGAAAGTGACCTGTGAAATACAGTGAAACCTGTGACATCTGGAACTCGATGGGACTGCCTTGTTTTTCTAGGTATTCCAAGTTTTTTGCCTTTGGCAGGGTGTAGTCTTACCACTTTTCTATCACTCTTTATTAGTGAAAAATATTTGAGTTTTCCTTCTCTGACAGGTTTCCGCCTTACACAGGTTCCAGTTTTCAGAGATTTTACTGTATTATATGAACTTAGGAAATAGTTTATTCTCATGGTTTACAAGGACTAAAGCTAATAAAGCACATTTTCTGCTTCAAAGGTCTACAGGTAAAATGAAATATTTGACTTATTAACAACATTACAGGTGAGGCTTAATCAAATAATCTATTATTTTGTCATTATTTTAAGGACTGTAAAATACAATGAACCTTGTGGGATATACTGCACAGTGAAAAAACTGGGGTGGGAAGGCAGGCGAAGCAAGCATGGGAACAAGGAACATATATTTCCTAGTCAGAATTCTGTTTCCTAGCAATGACTATGTATTCCCAGGGAACAGCCCATGCATTTCCTTAAATAACCCATGCAGGCAGAAACGGCATACCTTCTAAGGTACCTTTCCTTATCCTTCAGTACTGCAGCTAATTTCTGTTCCTCCCTAGTCCTATTCCTAGGAAACTCAACACTGAAGCAGAGAGAAGACAAGGCTATACACTGATGAGGTAGACTTGCAAAGTCAGGATGCTAGGAGAAAGGAGTCTTCCAGAAAATTTTGTATCCTTAAGTACCAAAGTTCAATAACAGTAACTACATTATCCCACTATTTCTGGTTCAACTTAATTTTTTCAGTTTTATTATTTTGCCACAATTTCTATTTTTTATTGTAAATGAAGACTCAGCTTTCAGACATTTTATCAACTTAATAGGTTTTCCTAGGCTTGTTTTGAGGCCTAAACACCACTGAAAACATTGTTTCAATGGAAACCAATTTACTGACTTGCAATACTTGGGGTTCATGTTTGGAAAAAGGAGACTAGAAATTACACTTAAAACTTGAGCAATGAAGTAAATAATCTTTCTTCTATAATCATTTATGGGTATGTACAATACACTGGTGTTTCTCTTCTACTTCTATGTCTAAGTAACTGAATTTATAGTTCTGTTTTCAGCAAAACCTTGCTTGGGATAACTACATGAAAAATTACTATAATCAGTTACTATGTTCGGGACTTTAAAAAAGTTTAAGTTTAGTTACTTAAAACTCTCTGAAATTAATATTTAGCTTATAAATTTTTATGTCTGTCTTCAGGCCCAAGGCTAATTAAAAAAAAACTATGTATTGTTTTTTTTCTTATAAAAGTTATATATGTTGAATATTAAAAAAAAAATTTGGCAGTTATATGGAAGTGGATTGGTCTTATCCTGAGTGAAGTCCCAAAATCAGAACAAGAATTGAAGGAAACAAAGGGAAGCAGGTTTTGACTGCATTTTCTAACAATTAGAGCCATCTGAAAATAGAATGGGGTGGTCTCATGAGTTGGTGGTTTACCTATAATGCTCAAATGGCTAGACTGAAATTTATTAGGGATCTTATATAAAGAATTTGTGCATCTGGATTAAAAAATCTGAATCCAGCTCTGCTTCTTTCTGTGTAACCAAAAATAAATTACATAAACTTTTGTAAGCCTCAATATTCTAACACACAAACTAGAGGTTAAAATATCTATCCTGAAAGGTTGTTGTGAGGTTAAAGTTAGTCAAAGTACATAAAACACCTACTACACAATGCTGACTCAACAATCGTTCTTCTTTTTTATTCCTATCCTATCCTTTATTCAGCTCAGGCAGGTTAAACCCCAAAACAAACCCACTACCATTGAGTCAGTTCTGACTCAATAGTGACCCTATAAGCAGAGTAGAACTGCCCCACAGGGTTTCCAAGGAGTGGCTGGTGGATTTGAACTGCTGACCTTTTGGTTAGCAGCCGAGCTCTTAACCACTGTGCCACCAGGGCTCCAGGTATAAAGTTGGAATTAAATAACTTCTAAAGTCACTTCTAAATTCTGAGATTCTATTAATTTAGACATCAGCAGATTTGTTAGCCACTTCATATGTTATCTCATTAATCTTTCAAAAAATTATTTGCTTAGCTAATTACTTATAATTCATTAATTACAGGTCAGTGGTACACATTAATAGTTATTGGTGTACTTTCACAAACATGTTGGAATCTGTAAAACAACATACTAATAGCAGTAATCTCAGAAAAAAAAAAGCTTTGAACTTAAGTCAGAAACAATTAAGGAGCTAGCTAATTATTCTCTGCCTGAGGGCATGTGTTATTTAGCTATCAGCTTTAGTTATAAACACCTGACTTTATAAGGATATGCACATGAGAAAAATGTTAGGTATGTATCCGCCAATACTTAGTACTCAAAGTTGGTCTGTAATGCAAATGTACTAAGGTTTTCAGATTCAGATCATTTTAAAGCAAGTCTATTTTTTATGCATAAATATGAGCTTACCAAACACTGGAAATTTATTATTCTATGAAAAAATGGTAACTTTTATATTGAAGAAACTAAAAATGACCTTTGTCTTAAAAAACAAATGCACAAACAAAAACCAAACCAAATCAAAATAAGTCACTGAACCTAAAGGGATGCACCTAAAGATTGAGAATAAGATGATGAACCAACAAGGAATTACACACTTTACCTTACGGCCCACATATACTGGAATGCCAATAATCATTGCAGGGATAGCAATGCCAGCTATTAAAGCAATTCCTACAGGAGCACCAACAAGTGTTCCCAGTTGCCACAATATTTTCTTCTTTCGGCTCCAAGGTTTCTTCCCCCAAAAAGTACATCCTGATGGACTAATGGGAAAAAAATATTACGTAAAGTGACTGTGGAAAAACATCAACAACAAACACAATGCATTAAAGCAATGACTATAAAAGAAGACTTCTCATACTGAGCGAGATTTTTTTTTTCTCTTTAAATTCTTAGATAATTAAAAGCCTCCCCAAATTAAGGTAAGGACCACCATAAATTATACTAAAGGGATATTGATAGCCAGGATTCAGGTTAAAAATTTATCCCTAGTCTTCCACTACTCTTAAAATCTTAAGTTAGTTTTTAAAGAGTAGATTAATGCAAACCTGTTTTAGGCATACACTTATCTAGTTCCCCCCTGCCCCATAAACTCACTTAGTGGCCTGAATGAGGAATTACATATCTGAGAAAATTAAATGGAACTATTTATTACCTACCACAGGATATTAAGTTCTGGCTTTATCATTTAACGAAAGAAAGAAAATCTCTATTTCTTATTTTTGACTAGTTAATCCCAAATGACTGGCACGATAATTTGGTTCTTTTTAAATCTATGTAACTAGAATAAAACCCAAGTTTTATAAATCCCAAGTTTAAAAAAAGCTTAGGATAATACTTTTTCTAAAAAAAGTCCTTTTGCCTTATAATATAAAATTATATTTAGATATAAATAGCTCCTTCTATAAACTTACCTTAAATAATGTAAATCTGAGATTTCTTTCATACACAACCAACAAAACTCACAACCACAGACAGCACATGTCATGTGATTACAGCTTCCATCATTCATCTTTATAATATAAGCAGCACATCGTGGGCATGGCTTTATATCATCAGCTATTAGGAAAACAAAGAAACCTATTTAGTATGAAAAATTACCGAAAAGTAACAATTTCTAGTAGACTGATATAAATTGTACTGCCAAAAAACAAACAAAAAAACCCTAACATGTATAGATCATTAACTGATAGCTTTAATCTGCTATTTGTAGTATAAAAAGCATTTTGTCTTCCCTACTGAGAAAGGGAACATATTTCACATTAAATTTTCAATTTGTAAACATTTTTCAAACACAGGAGCAGAACAATGAAAACAAAGAATAACAAAAGAATAAAAAGAAAAAGGAGAAACAAGGTCAGCCCTAGGCAGATTGTAACAAGGTTTTTGTCCCTACCCCATAGCTGTTTTCTATTAGTGGCATTTCATGTTCTAGAACTTTTCTGTTTCTACTTAATTAAAATGTAGACATTCTACATAGTATTTCTTTAGTGAATGAACACTAGTGGGAAGCGACAATCTGATATTAATTTAAGGCACTAGAGACAAAGCACTATGAGTTCATTTCTCTCTTCTAAGCAACATCAACTACACTCACTGTAAAAATAATACAGGTATCTTTAGAAAAGTAGTTTTCCCTCCTGTATTTCAGTTCATACAATAAACAGACGGGCCTTGCAAAAGAATTAATACACAGAAAAAAAGAGAGGAAGACGTTAAGGAAGAGTTGTATGGTTATAAACACTATAGACACTATAAAACAGTTTCAAAATTCATGTAATTATTGTTAGTTATCCTCATGACTGTTTTGTCCTTTTTATTCAAGTGTTCAAATGCTGCTGGTGTACGCTCCTTGTCTATGGCTACAATGACCAAAGGTATCAAGTCAAAATTAAGTGGTACATAACTTTAGAATCACTGACACAGAGTAAGAGTTATTTCAAATTATACAACTATTTTGAACTTTGGCATCTACTTAAATAGTAACTTGTAATTATTTTTCTTACTATTACCCAGCTTTGTTTTCTAACTACACAGTCAAAAAAAAAAAAAAAAAAGTTTATAGAGCTACTAATGAATTAAAGTATTTGTTCCAATTTCTTACATTATAAGCATTAAGCGATGTTCTATTCTCCTTTCTACAAGTTTTATGGTCAAATTTTACCTGTGTGCTTTATCAGTGAATTCACGTTTCCTTAGTGCTTCTTTTAGGGCCAAAGCTGTTTTTTAACTTAAGAACTGGTCAATGCTCACAATTAGTGTTTTAATGATTCAAGCAATTTTGAGCAAACTGATAACTCTATGCAGCCAGACCAAGACAAATGATAATTACTAGAATATAAAAATTAAAAATATCCATAAGTCATGACTTAAATAGTCCAAAGAACATAAAGTCTGCATTAAAAAAATTTAACATTGGGACATAAATGAAAAAAAGCTGGCTTTCATACTTAATATAACATCTAACACATCAAATTAAGGAAATAATAATATAATTTGCTTAAGCAGAATACTGATTGATAAACTTCCTCATTCCAGTATATACTGAAGTAATAGATACCCCAACTAGAGGTAGAAGTATGGACACTTAGGCTTTGGTTCTAATACATGAAATCTTCAGAACAAACTGAAAGGTGACATTCCCATTTAGTTTTATGGTTCTGGAAACACAAAATAGCCTTTCAAAATGCTAAGATTACATGTTAGAGAATTAATACCATGAGCAATGTGTTTTTGCTATATCTCTTTATATATCTACACCTACATATTTTCATTCTCTGTATAGATAATTAAGGCTATTTTGTCTACTGTCTCTTTCCTTAAACCACAATTAGGGAAAAAAAAATCACTGTATACCTATGATATACTTCTCACAAAATATTCTCAAAATCGATAAATGCTAAATTATATTGTTTTACTGATTAGACTGTCAATTGATCTCCCATTCCCCAAGAATCAAATAATTCATAGCTCCTTGATACTGAAAAAAAGAAAAAAAAAGTTTCCTATCTTCTTTAAAGTGTTTGGTAAAGCTTTTGTCTTTTTTGATTACTATATTTCTGTTTACTGTTATAATATGGGCATTGTCATATTAAGAAAAAAACAACAGGATACAAAACACTGTTCTCAAAATTTGTTTTAAATGTTCTCCCCTCCTCCCTGCTAAGCACACTATCTATAAGGACTTACAACAAAATGTTAACAGTGGTAGTGGAAGGGGATTATAGATGGGGATGAGGAATCCATTAAATATTACATTTTTAAAAAGGAGAAAAATATAGTAACAAAAAACAAAAAATATGTGCTTCCTTTAAAATGTAACTCAAACTACATAAACCCCTTAGTAGCTATAAGAAAGAAGTCTCACTTAGATGCAAGACTGCCACAGTTTATTTGGAATAACATAAAGTAATAAAAATCATTTTAGATGGTAGATCCATTTTCCTTTTTCCATAAGTCAATGAGAAACCAAGTTTAAATTTTTAATTTTTTATAGATTATATCAAAAAAAATTATCACAGTTATTTGTTCTGACAGCTTTGATTTGTGAAGCACTGTGGTTAAGCATTTGGCTGCTAGCCAAAAGGTCGGTAGTTCGAATACACCAGCTGCTCCCTGGAAACCTTATGGGGCAGTTCTACTATGCCCTATAGGGTCGCTATGGGTCAGAATTGACTCGAGGGCAAGAGGTTATGGGTAAGTAAAAACGCATGTACAGTTATCCCTCGGTATCTGCTGGGGATTGGTTCCAGAATCCCCTGCAGATACCAAAATCCAAGGATGCTCAAGTCCTTCAAATAAAATGGGGCAGTATTTGCATATAACCTACACACATCCTGCTGTATACTTTAAATCATCTCTGGATTACTTATAATACCTAATACTATGTAAACAGTTGTTGTACAGTACTGCAGAGAGACTGAGGATCTGTGAAATGGTGGGAGGCTACAGCAGGGTGTAGCTACACATCATTTCATCTGTGTCGATTCAGCATCCTGCTTGGCATGTGGCAAATTCAAGTTTTGCTTTTTTTGGAACTTTCTTTTTCCTAATATTTTTGATCCACAGTTGGTTGAATCCGTGGTTGCAGAACCCCCGGATACGAAGGGCTGACTGTACTTTAAATTTAGATTTTAAATTTTAAATCTTATCTTGAGATAAGATTTTGTAAACAAACATGGAACAAATTCCAAATGAAGTTTATTTTTTTTAAATAATCAACTTGGGAAGCTATATTTATTCCAACAATGCTGGTTTTGGCTCAAATCATTTGGGAACTTTTTCTTTCAGAATCATCTTCAAAGCTACTTTATATAAAAAAATCACTCTCATGATCATATTAGTCACGTTAGTCTGGATCTATCCCAAACCAGTGACTCAACCTAGTATGATACTCTAGTTGTTAGACTTAGTTAGCTCCAAAGAAACTTTCAATCATTTCCAAAAATCAAATTGACATTAAAAGGATAATTTAAAAGAATGTATGACGATCTAAAGGTTATGAACAATAAGGCATTCCACAGTAGCACTGCTGAAATAAAGATAAAACCTCCCATGGTAATTGCTTTGAAGAAGACAAATATTTATTTGGAAGACTAAATCATGATTTTTTTTTAAAATAACATTTTACTGTCTTTTTGGTGAAAGTTTATACAGCAAATTAGATTCCTGTTTAACCATTTTTATACAAATTGTTCCGTGACATTGGTTACAATTTTCACAATGTGTCAGCATTCTCATTATTTCCATTCTGTTTGTTCTGTTTCCGCTGATCTAGCTTCCCTTTCCCTCCTTGCCTTCTCATCTTTGTTTTTGAGTAAGTGTTGACCGTTTGGTTTCATACAGTTGATTGTTTAAGAGAGCAAATTACTCATGGGTGATACTGTTTATTTTATAAGCCAATCTATTATTTGGCTGAAAAGTGACCTCTAGGAGTAGCTTTAGTGCCAACCTCAAAGGGTATCTTAGGGAGATAGTCTTGGGGACTCCTCTAGTATCTACCTGTCCAGTAGGACTGGCCTTTTTTAGGAATCTGAATTTTGTTCTACCTTTTTCTCCCATTCTATCCGCGACCTTCTATTGCGTCCCTGGTCAGAACAGTTGGTTATGGTAGCCAGGGGTCACCATGTAGTTCTTCTGGTCTCACGTTAGAAAAGGTTGTGGTTCATGCAGGCTATTAGTCCTGTGGACTAGTTTCTTCTTTGAGCCCTTGGTTTCCTTCCTTCTCTTTTGCTCCAGATGACTAGAGACCAACAGTTGTATCTTAGATGGTTGCTCCAAATCATGACGTTTATTTAAGAAATGATAACAAAAGCCATCTCTCTTGTCGTTCTCTAAAATGAACACCCAGGCATACTAAAATCTCTGTCAGGAGACTCTAGTTTCCTACCTCACAGAGATCACTTAGTATGAGTCAGGAAATGTTTTAGCCCTACGGAAATAAGTATTACTAGTATCTTCATTTTACAGATGAGGCAAGTACCTTGCTCAAGGTAACAGAGAATAAGTAGAGAAGTTTAGATTTGAGTCCAGGAAGTCTAACTCCAGAATCTATTCTCTTACTCAATATATGTTTGTGTGTCCTATGACTAATAAATACCCACCCCCTACACCTGAGAGAGGAGCGTTATCTTTCCAAGTGAACTACCCAATGGCTACTACTGCTGACTCCTCAGGGGACAGTTTAGGTATAGTCAAGTCCTCTGTGAACTGCTTTGAGACTCATACCTACAAATTATTACTAATACCTTTGGGTTCCACCCAAAATCTTGGAGACAGAAAACAGAAATAGGCCAGTAACCAAACAAGCATAAAAATCCATGGACATTATGAAATGTTGAAACTTCCATGTTAAATTTTAATAAGACCATTTTTCTAGCAGAATTAAGCAAAAGATTATTTCAATATACTGCTGGTAGCAAGGTAAATTATTTTCTTAATAAATTACTGTATTTTCCAAGTTTTGCCCTTCACAATCACAAAAACTAATTTTTCTAAAAAGGATTAAAATTTCAATAAGCAATCAGAAGTCTGTGAACATTAGATATTAATTTTTAAAATTTTATTCAAGGAACTTTAAGATGTTCATGAAAAATAAATTAAAACTGTTGGGATGAGATGCATACTTTCTTAATGTACAGGTCCCCCCATAACTTTTAAGTTCATGGCCAAAGACACCTTAACGTTCTTAGTGTCTTCTCTACTAAGATATAGGCAGTCCCTGGGTTTAAGAATGTGGACTTACAGATAAGTCCCACATGCCCTTTAATGTTATGTAAATTTGCCCTCACTTTGAAATGACCGAACCAATCTCTACTCACAACAAATTCTTCATCACAATCACCTTCACTTGCTGCATGAGCAGCTTTTAAAATTATTGAGAAGGCTTCGAGTCTTTTCTTGCACTAAAGTAAGGCTTAATAAGAACTGTATACACCTGCTCCAACTTACCTACAAACTTGACATAAAGATACAGTTAGGAATGGATCTTGGCTCGTAACCCAGGGACTGCCTGTATAATTTTGTACCCTTGATCCTGGGATTGGATGAAACTTCAGCAAGTAAGAAATGCATTTCACAAAACATGTAAAAGAAAAGCATTCTAAGAATAAATACTGCTTTAACTCAGTAATTTTGTGATATTTATACAATTAAAAATAATCTGAAGGTGATATTTCAAAATTAATATTTTATTAAAAATATTTGCTAAACTTTGTCTAAAACACCTTTATAAAAATTTCAAACCATTTTTGGCTACTAGTTATATAAATCATCATGACACTCTTTTGCTTTTTTTTTTGACAGTAATATCTTTTCAATCTCAACACCACTTTCTTCCACAGAAAAAAATGAGTGCTTCTGGGACAGAAATGGTAACACATAAAACACTTCTGAAAACTGAAGGGAGGATACGAGATAACAGCAGCTAAACACTAAATATATTTTATTAAAAGAACTAGTGTTCTGTATGTGTCAAATATTTTATCAGTAAAAGTTAGACATAAATACCTGCTGCTCCAGATTCCTGGCTATAACTAATGGACGAAGATCGTATAGTTCTCAAACGTAAACTCTGGGCTCTCTCTTGTCGGGCAGCATCACAGGTCTGGTTAGGATGCCAAATCTGTTTACAGTGGTAGCAAAACTCTGTTCCACAGCCTTCTCGCCCACAAGTTAATTTTGGACAGCTAGCACATCCAAATGCTATCACAGCATATCTTGAAAGAGCAAGAAAAAAGACTGAAAATGTGATGTAAAACAAGAGATATTCATTAACTAGAAAAATTATCCAACTAAAATGTTATTACTGTAACATATTTTACATTTATGCATTAGCAAATAGTCTATCTCACCAATATAAATAATAGGAGGAAAAATGAACTTCACAAATGAAGACAAATAGCCAAGAAACATTTTAAAAGTCTGACTTTTTGTTTTTAACTTAGTATTTACAAGGGAAAAATTACATTCAAATCTGGTGGAATATGGTGAAATGAACACTTTTGGCAATATATACTGGTACCACATTTTTTTGAAAACTATTTGGCAATATATATCAAGTGACCCAAATAATTCCACTTCTAGGAGCCCATCACAAAGGATATCCAAATACACAGTAAAATGCTAAGTTATCACAACAAAGAAAATGATTTCAGAAATGGATACATTCATTTAGTAGATTATATAGTTCTGATATTTTGAAAGAAATTTTAGGACACAAGAGAATACTCACGATATGCTAAACATAAAAAGCAGGACACCAAACTATATATAGCTCAATCCCAATTTTATACAAATTATACTGAATTAGTATTATATGCACATAGAAAAGACTGGAAGAAATTTATGAAAAATCTTAACAGTGGTTTTCTTGGTATTAAGGCTTTAATTTTCTTCTTTATATATTTATACATTTCTGATTTTCCACAATTAATTACTTTTATAACTAGAAAGATTAAAAAAAAAACCTATTCAAAAATAATGACAACTATGGATTGGCTATACATGTTAGTTAATGACATACTGTGCCAAGTCACAAACTTGGTGATTACCTGAAATTTAAGCATCAATTCTCACATTTTTGTTTCTAAGATGTATGGTGAAAGTGGTCTTTTGTGCCAATCTCTACCAAAAAGTGTACAAACTGGGATTTCTCAGTCAGGAAGTTTGTTTTTCTGTCAGATAAAAGATTGAAAGTACTAGATGCATTACTAGCCCTAATACCTATTCTCTGAGTTAATTTTTTGGCACTTTAAGAATTTCTGACTTAAAATAATTCTGGGCACTTTTGGGCATTTACCTCAGAGAAATGAAAATTTATGCTCACACAAAAGCCTGTACGTGAACGCTCATAGCAGCTTTATTTGCAATAGTCAAAAACTGGAAAACAGTTTGAATGTCCTTCAACAAGTGCATGGTTAAACAAACTATGGAACATACATATTATGAAATACTACTCAGCAACTTGGATGAATATTCGGGAAATTATGCTGAGTAAAAACAAAGTCATTTTCAAAAAGTTACATACCGGATTGCATTTATATAAAATTTCTGAAATGACAAAATTTTAGAAATGGAAAACACATTAGTGGTTGCCAGAGGTTAGCAATGAGGGCAGGGAGGAGGGATAGGAGGGTATGGTTATAAAAGAGTAACAAGAGGGATCTGTGGTGATGGAACCATTTAGTACCTTGACTTCTTGACTGTGGTGGTGAATACTTGAACCTACACATATGGTAATATTTACAGAACTAAACACACACAGGTATGTATACATACACACACAAAAATGAGTACAAGTAAAACTAGGGAAATTTGAGTAACATTGGTAGATCGTATTAATTAATGTCAACATCTTAGTTGTGATGTACTTTAGCTTCATAAAATGGTACTATTGGGGGGAAACTTTAACTCTCTGTATTACTTCTTACAACTGTCATGTGAACCTACAATTATCTCAATAAAATTTTCAATTAAAAACTTTTCTAGGATTTTCTAGATTTCTTTGAAAACAGCAACAAACAAGTGTTAATCTATGTATAAAAGGCTTTTGTAAATATCAAATATTTCCTCTTGCCTGGAATTTTAGGGGAGTTTTCAGTACTCTTGTTACTGGCAATAAAATCTAAATAATAACTTTAACTGAGACTTAATTAAATTTCAAGATAATCTATAAAATTATGCAAGATTTTCAGAGTTGGAGAGTTCTTTCATTTTTGGACCTGTTGCTCCCTTAGTAGCTTACCCTTTAAACTTACATCTTGAACTCCATTTTATTCCTGATAGATCAATTCTCTAATTACCACTGTCTGTCATAGGTATGAGAAGCCCTGGTGATGCAGTAGTTAAGTGCTTGGCTGCTAACCTAAATGTCAATGGTTCAAACCCACCAGCCGCTCTGAGGGAGAAATACGTGGCAATCTGCTTCTGTAAAGACTACAGCAGTCCTAGTCTGTCTTATAGGGTCACTGTTGGGTCAGAATCGACTTGACGGCAACAGGCTTGGGCATCACAGGTGTACCAGACCCTTGTGGCCTCATGAATTGTTAAGTGCTTGGCTGCTAACAGAAAGGTTAGCATCGGTAGTTTGAACCCACCTGTGGCTCCACAGGAGAAAAGACCTGGTAATCTGCTCCCATAAAGATTACAGCCTAGAGCAGTCATCTTACTAAGATACAACTATTGGTTTCTTCCCAACTGGAGCAAAGGAGAATGAAGAAAACCAAACACTCAAGGGAGCAATTAGTCCAAAGGACTAATGGACCACATGAACCACAGCCTGCACAACCCCAGGACCAGAAGAACTAGATGGTTCCCAGCCACCACTACTGACCGCTCTGACTGGGATCACAACAGAGGGTCCCAGACAGAGTGGGAGAAAAATGTAGAAAAAAATGAAATTCACAAAAAAGACCAGACTTACTGGTCTGACAGTAAGGACTGTCAAGAGGAACCCCCGAGACTATGGCCCGAAGACACCCTTCTGACCTGGAACTGAAACCATTCCTGAAGACCACCTTCCAGCCAAACAATACACAGCCCATAAAACAAACAATAACACTTGAGAGGAATGTCCTCCTTAGAAGAATCAATTATACAAGATCAAAAGGTCAATATTTGTCCAAAAGCAAAGATGAGAAGGCAGAAAGGGGCAGAAAATCAGGACAAAAGGAAACGGAACCCAGGGCAGAAATGGGGAGAGTGATGACACATTGTAGGGAATGAAACCAAGGCCATGAAATACTTTGTGTACAAACTATTGAATGGGCATTTAATTTGCTCTGTAAATTTTCACCTAATGCACAAAAAAACAAAAAAATTACAGCCCAGGAAACCCTATGGGGCAATTCTACTCTGTTATACAAGGTTGCTACCAGTCAGAACTGACTCAACAGCACACAACACAACAAATCATAGGTATATTGCCATAACAGTGGACTCAAATACACCAACGATCATGAAGATTGTATCCGTTGTGGTTGCCATTGAGTTATATATGCCATTTTAACAAGTTATAATCCAAAGTATAAGCTAAAATAGTCTCTGTTTCAAATACCAATTTCAGTGAATAGGAAAAGGCACTTTCCTCTAGGTCTCTTCTCTATCCTACCTTTTTCTGCAGGAAGAAAGGAGGAAATGGGAGGCAAGATGGAAGAAATTGCTGTATATAGGAGACAATGCCAAAGCCAACAATCTTTTGAAGTTAGTCACAAGTTACAAAAGCAGAAGTAAAAAAAACAAATTTGTTTTGTTTTGCCCTTGAGTAGCTTACAGACATTAAATAATTAATTACATTCTATTATAACAAATGCTCCTGTATATTCAAAGCTCCCTGCAAAATCAGAAGAACTCACATGAGATGATAGGGATAGTGTGTGCTGGTAGTAGGGTAGCCTTAGCAACAGAAACAGGTACAAACTAGGCCTCCTAGGCAGAAGGTAATCAGATATTTCTATCAAAGGCAGGGTGTACACTTCTCCTCCTACGTGCCCCTCATCCCAATTCTTCTCCTCAGTTATGGACAGATTTTTCTCATAAACCTGTGAGGACTGGCATATTCTACAAGCAGTCTAGCTAGCCTCACCCTAGTTAAATCAAAGCACTGAAGTCTGACCTCCTACGCCTCTTCCATTCTATTCTATTGCTCCACTTCCCTTTCTTCCTTCTTAACCCATTGTCATTGAATGGGTTCTGACTCATAGCGACCTTAGAGGGCAGAGCAGAACTGCTCCATAGGGTTTCCAGGCCGTGCCTGGTGGATTTGAACTGCTGACCTTTTGGTTAGCAGCTGTAGCTCTTAACCACTATGCCACCAGGGTTTCTTCCTTCTTAAAAAGGGGTTTTTTACGGAATGTCCTTTAAACAATTCTAATCTGCCCTGGCCCTCAGAAGAATATTAAGTCATAAACTCTGAGGCATCTCCAATGGAAACCAGGTCAAGTAGTGCTTTTTATCTACTCTGAGGGAGAGGCAGTATTTCTCAAGGTGTGTTAATCTACATGTTTAAGTAAAATTAATGTCATACTGATAAATGATAAATACCACATTCAAAAAGAAAAATTCATGATTTCACATATAGACATTTCTGGAAAAATGCCTTTCAAGTGTGTTGTAAATTAAAGGGGTTAAATAAATACTACCTACATGCCTATGGTCCTGGTACTGTTCCTGAGCATTTCTGTGAATGACAGCCAAATAGTCAGCTATTTAACAATATTCCTCATGGCAGATTAAAACAATAAATAAGTTTAAATTTTAAAATGTCCCTCTGTGGGGGCTCGGGACCATGGTCTCAGGGAAATCTAGCTCAAAAGGCATAACATAGTTTATAAAGAAAATGTTCTACATTCTACTTTGGTGAATAGCATTCTAGGGTGTTAAAAGCTTGTGAGCAGCCATCTAAGATACTCCACTGGTCTCACCCTGTCTGGAGCAAGGGAGGATGAAGAAAACCAAAGACACAAGGGAAAGATGAGTCCAAAGGACTAATGGACCACAAGTACCACAGCCTCCACTAGACTGAGTCCAGCACAACTAGATGGTACCCAGCTACCAACACTGACTGCTGACAGGGATCACAATAGAGGGTCACAGACACAGCTGGAGAAAAATGTAGGACAAAATTCTAATTCACACACGAAAAAAAAGACCAGACTTACTGGTCTGACAGAGACTGGAGAAACCGCGAGAGTATGCCCCTGGACACCCTTTTAATTCAGTACTGAAGTCACTGAGGTTCACCCTTCAGTCAAAGCTTAGACAGGCCTATAAAACAAAAAGAGACTAAATGGTCACACCAGCCCAGGGGCAAGGATGAGAAGGCAGGATGGGACAGGAAAGCTGTTAATGTGGAACCCAAGGTCGAGAAGGGTAGAGTGCTGATATATTGTGGGGCTGGCAACACTGTCACAAAACAATATGTGTACTGTTTAATTTGCTCTATAAACCTTCGACTAAAGTACAATAAAAATTAAAAAGAAAAAAAAAAAGTCCCTCTGCGGGTCCGAAGGTTTTAATAACTTCCAAGAGGGCTCGGAATTTTGTCTTTTGTTCATTATTATATCTCCAACACTTGATACACAGGTGCATTAAATAAGTGCCTGATTTAAAAAATAAAAAAAAACTTACTTCAGAAATGGAGATGAGAGGTGTTAAATGAGAATTATAAAGTGCTTATTGTGTACTGGAAATTATGCTAGGAACATTAAAAATCTATCTCTAAAACAACAGAGTACTAGTTACCAGAACGATCTTTGCAGTGTTATCTCTGTTAAAGTGTGTTTAGTACTCTGTAAAGCATGTAACAAACTCTCTAAAGGTAAGTGTTTAAACACTTATAACTTAATCATGGGAACATTAAAAATGTATTTTAATCGTTATATAATAACAACTATGCTAGAAACATTAAAGATCTATGTCACTTAATCCTGATTCAAAACCAAGTCTGTACATGTTCATGCTAAGTAAAATTGTAACCTTTAACAAGGGTTCATGTAGTATTCTGTTTTCAAAGTATACATATAAATTTTATGTTATTGGGTGATGTTTTCTACATATCACAAACATACAACTTATAATGTCAATGAGTATATAAAATATACTGTTAACCTAGAGAGAATAAATCAACTACAAATGAAAATACATAGATAATAAAAGCAATGTGACATGTTTTTTCTGATCTTTGTAGGTTACACAATCACCAAAACCAAAAATTAATTTATGAGCAAATTAATTAAGGACAATTTCTTTGTTAAACTTATATAACAATTAAGCAACTGTTTTCATAACAAAAGAATCTTTTAAGGAAAAGTGTTTCTATTATTTTATATTTTATTTAACATTTAAGGTATCATCTTCAAAACATTTAGGATACTAAGCCATTTTTTTTTAAAGATACGCACACACTGATTCCTTCTTTTTATTGGAAATATAGTACTATTTTTTCACAATTTTTCCTAGCTAGCCAGTGCTCTCTTGTTTTATCATTCAAGGCCTAACCTTTTTTTTTTTTTTTTAATTGTGCCTTAGGTGAAAGTTAACAGCTCAAGTTAATTTTTTCATTCAAAAATTTATACACATATTATTTTGTGACACTGGCTGTAATCCCCACAATATGACAGCACACTCTCCCTTTCCACCCTAGGTTCTGTGTCCATTCGACCAGTTCCTGTCCCTTTCTGCCTTCTCATCCTGTTTTTGGGAAGGAGCTACTCATCTGGTCTCATATTGACTGAACTAAGAAGCATGTTTCTCACGTGTATTATTTTTTGTTTTATAGTCCTGTCTAATCTTTGTCTGAAAAGTGGCTTTCGGGAATGGTTTCAGTTCTGGGTTAACAGAGCATCCAGGGACCATAGTTTCAGAGGTTCCTCCAGTCTCTGTCAGACCATTACATCTGGTCTTTTTAATGTGAATTTGAATTCTGTTCTACATTTTTCTCCTGCTCTGTTTGGGACTCTCTATTGTGTTCCCTGTCAAGGTGGTCATTGGTGGTAGCCAGGCACCATCTAGTTATTCTGGTCTTAGGATGGTGACATCTCTGGCTCATTTGGTCCTTTAGTCCTTTGAGCTAGTATTTCCCTCGTGTGTGTGGTTTTCTTCATTCTCCTTTGCTCTGACTGGGATGGGACCAATAGATTTAAGCCATTTTTCATAACAAAGTCTCATGAGAAAAAATGTGCAAAAATATCCCAAATGAGTTTCTGAAAAATTTTAAAATTTTACTGAGAAATATGTCATACATACAAAATAACTTATAAAGAATAAAATGAATACCCATATATCTACCACACAAGAACACTATCAGTAGAGTGATCATATAATTCATGGCCTGAATTAAAACACTTGAGAAAGAAAGGTACTGCTAATAAAAATTACACCAGCACAATAAGCAAAAACCAAAACTACCTTGGGCAAACCAGAACCTATGGTTACCTTATATATCAGTGGCTTCAGAAGCCCTTTGATGGTCCCTTGGAGTTCACATCCTCTCCTTCTCCTCTCAAGAGAAAACCACTAAACCAAATGTATTTATACATTCTACTGTTAATGGGCATTTGTTGTTTTTTTTTAATGTTGGGAAAATGGTATTTGTTACTCAACAACTTGAGCAAACTGAAGTATTATGTAAGTTCTAGATCTTGAGGCCAGTAAATGCTTATATATATATCAATATGATCATATCATAGTATGGCACATGTTAAGATCCCTTTTGAAAGGGTCATTTAAGTTTATGACCACAAAAACTTTCTACAAAAAAAAAAATCCTGATCATTTCATCTGTTATACCAAAATAAAAATTCTCCAAATGGATGAAGAAAATAAATTTTGCACACAACTAGATCCTGTACTCAACCATCATACCCTTTTCTTCTGAAAATGCTTTTAAATAAATATGTAATGCAGAGAATATATAATAATGAATAAGATAGGATTCTTGCCTTAACTAACATGGCATGAACTCAATGTATGTTTGTCTACTGAATAAATAAATTCCCTGGCATGTTAAGATTTTTCTTTTGAGCAATAGTCAGCAAATTCTTATTTTATCCACAAACAAAAAAATTTAATTCAAGAAAAAAACAATATTTTCTTACCCACAGTCTGGAGCTGGACACCACCTACAATCTGGATCTGCAACAAGCCACCGTCTAAGCATAAATTCTTCATATTTTTCCATCAAGATATCATCACTTAATATCAAGCGAATATCATGCGGATTAAACCGTTCAGTACATTCTGGGCAACTGATATTAACTCTGCTTTCGGAGATTTCTATCCTTAGATATTGTCGTAAGCAATCCACACAAGATCTATGATGACAAGTCATTATCTCAGGAAATCTGTCTTTAGAATGCCGCAAAAGGCACAAAGGGCACTCTATAAAGTCTCCAATTTGTTTGCTGATGGAAGTTAATCCATTGTCAGAGGAGGTATTTGTAGAGAAAATGGAGTTCTTATCAGTACACATTTCAGAATGTATACTTTCAATACTCGCAATTCCATCCACCCCGCCATTTAGCTCCCTTGATTTACGTTTGTTATCCTTTTTCCTCCGAAACAGAGAGCCTATTGAAATTCTTCTTTTTTTGGGTGCCTTTTTGACTGAAGGCAAGCTCACAGATGAAGCAGAAGACTGAAGGTCTCGATCTGAACCCATTTGCCGATGTAAACTCATGTCTAAAATGCTCATTAGAATTAAGTCAGGGCCAGTGTTTACACACAGCCCTTCATTATATTTAGAGATGAAACCTGTTTCTTGTTCTTGCATTCAGATGATGTCATGATGTAAGAAAATCATACTTGGTTTCTTCAGAGAATTCTTGAAAAAGTTCGACTTATAGGAGGCTGTTATCATAGATGTCCTGGGAGGAAAAAAAAAAACCATGACCACTTAATTGTATTCTTAGTCTGCATGTTTTTAAAAACTTATAAACTCACTATGAAATTTCAAACAAGTATGTTCTTTAACAATTAGTTTTCTTTTTTTAAAAAAGCTAATTTCTTAAGCAGCCTACAAAAGAGTATAAAACCAATGCTGAAATAGCAACTAGGACATGTGTATTTTGACCTGATCATTATTAAAATCTTCCGCAAAACATCTGATCATCACAAAATGCCTGATCATTATCACTGTGACTTCAATGATTCCTGTCTCTTTTGAAAAATTGACAAGCTAATTATAAAATGTACATGCAAATATAAAAGGCTAAGAATGACCCGCATTATCTTGAGGAAGAATAAAGTGGGGGTGGGAGAGCGTATTACACTGCCAGATATAATGACTTATTATAAAGTTACAGTAATTTAGACAGTGTGGTAAGTCACAAGAAGGGATACAAAGACCAATGAAACGAAGAATCCAGAAACAAGACCCACATATATATATGGACAATTGATTTATGACAAACATAGCATTGCTGAGCACAAAGGAAAAAACGGCCGTTAAAAAAAAAAAAAGTACTAGTTCTACTCGCTATCCATCTGAGAAAAACAAAAAGAACTTGACGTATAGCTCACACCATGCATAAAAATCAATTCAAGTGTTTCATAGATATAAACGTGAAAAGTGAAACCATAAAGCTTCTAGAAGACAATAGAAGAGAATATTTCAGTGAAAAGATTTCTTAAAGCACTAACCATAAAAGACTGATAAATAGGATTACAATAAAATCAAGGAACAGTATTAAGAGAGAAGACATTTGTCACATATAAATAATAAGACCAGTATCCAGAATATGTAAAGAACACTTACAAATAAGTAAGAAAAAGCAGATAATCCAATGGAAAAATGGAAGAAAGACTTGAATAGGCACTTTACAATAGGATGTGAAAAAGTGTTCAACATCATTAGTCATCAGAGAAATACACATTAAAGATGCATTGAGGGACCACTACATCTGCAGCAGGATGGCTAAAAGTAAAAGGTTGACATTTTCAGTATTGACAAAGATATGGAGGAACAGGAACTCTCTTATACTGCCAGCGTAAGTATAAAACAGCACAATTACTTTGGAAAACTGACAGAACTACCAAATTTGAACATATAGTTATACTATTACTCAGCAATTTGACTCCTAGAAATGAGTACAAAAGAGAAATGAATGCAAGCATGCATCAAAAGACATACATAAGGATGTTCATAGAAGTATTAATTTTAATAGTCAGAATACTGGAAACAATCTACATTTCCATCAACAGTAGAATGGATAAATTGTGGTATATTCAACTTCAGTATACAACAACAACAACAAAAAAAAACTGCCACACACAAAACACAGATTAATCTCATCCAGAATACATACTGTATGATCCCATTCATATAAAGTTCAAAAACAGGAAGAACTAATCTATGATGTTAAAAGTGAGGACTGTGGCTACCTCTTGGGAGGGGGCACAGAAGGGAACTTTTATAGTGGTTACAAAGGTATGTTCACTTTGTGATAAATCACCGACCTACAAACTCATGGTTCATGTGCTTTTCTGGATGACTGTCGTATCACAATTAAAAGGTTATGAAAAAAAATGCTTCCTGAGCTGATATCCATGCATATTCTTCACAAAGTAACGTAATTGGTTTCCGAAGACAAAGAAAATCTAGAAAACATTACACTCAGGGAAACTTTAGTCATGTCCTTCAGTTTATATTTTCCCATTATTTGCAGTATAGTCCCTTAATTCAAAGAAAAATACAGAGTGTAAAGGCAGGTTTTACAAAAATTATCAGCATATTTTCTTTACATGTTTTTACTTTCTTTTACACTCCAATGCTTTCAGTTCTGCAGGGATCAACATATGTATCATAGAATAGAATTAAAAAGGGAATCTATCTTGGACCTTGTCCTTAGACTTCATCACTTAAAATATTAAACCAGTGGTACCTTAATCAGTATCACCTGGGGAGTTTTTCAAATTACACATGTCTAGAAGTTCAACAGTCATACAATTTATTATCCAAATGAGAACCTTGTAACAGTGAGTGGGGATGCTATTAATCCTTATACTGAGACAACAGGTGCAAACTGGAGCATATGATCATCAAAGGAAAATTAAAAAGTTTGAATATTAAAAATTTAATATTCCTATATGGTTTAAAAAAAAAAAAAAAGGACCCCTGGTAGCACTGTGGTTAAAGTGCTCGGCTGCTAACTGAAAGATCGGCAGTTCAAACCCACCAGCTGCTCCACAGGAGAAAGATGCGGCAGTCTGCTTCCGTAAAGATTTACAGTCTTGGAAACCAAGTGGGGCAGTTCTACTGTCCTATGGGGTCTCTATGAGTCGAAATTGACTTGACGGCAATGGGTTTACACAGTAAAAAAAAAATACTATAAATAAGGTAAAAAGATATAATAAATTAGGAAAATATATGTAATAAAGAACACATTTCCTTAATATAAACCTGCTTTTACACATTAATAAGAAAAAGATGTACAACCTAACAGCAAAACAAAGATACAAAAAGGCTGCTTAGAGAAAAGGAATTATAAAAATTAGGAAGACAGTAGGCAATATTTGACAACAATCATAACTAAAGTTATTAAAATTCAGACATCAGATACCATCTTTATGCATATGACATTACTGACAAAAGCTGTAAAGTGTTGGGGAGTGTGTGTAGTGAAAGAAGCATTCTCTCTCTCACACACACATACACACACACACACACACACTTTAAAAAAAAACAACCAGACCTGTTGCTGTCGAGTTGATTCCGACTCATAGTCCAACTCATAGTGACCGCATACGACAGAGTAGAACTGCCCCATGTGGTTTCCAAGAAGCGGCTAGTGGATTCAAACTGCCAACCTTTTGGTTAGCAGCCGAGCTTTTTTTACCACTGTGCCACCAGGGCTTCTATGTACAGTTGGGAGGTGTGCAAATCAGCATAATTTTTGGGAAGCAATGTGACATTATCTATCAAACTTCAAAATTTTCTTTGATCCAGCAATCTACATCTAAGAGTTTATCCTTCAGGAGATATAGGCCAAAAGTATGCGAAGACATATTGTACAAGGAAATTCACTGCAGCATAGCTGACAGAAACAAAAAAACTAAAAACAACAAAACAAAAATCACAAAACCCAGAAATAACTAACATGTCCAACAGGGAACTGGTAAAAATAAATGGACCACAATTTATATGTAATGATATGGAAAGACCCCTATAATGTAATGCTGAGTGAACAAAGATAATTGCAAAATAGTATGTATAGTATGAACCCACACAGACTTGCATATGCATACACAATTTCTGGAAGAATACATATGAAAACATTAACAATGGTGTTACATTGTCCCAAGGCTTCCTATAAATTTGGTGAAAACTGACTCAGCTATTTTCAAAATTCAGTAACAGATACAGAAATTTAAGAAGTCTCTCTTACCATCACTGTAAGAATCGAGCATACCAATGATCCTGAAGATGGCACAGGGCTGGGCAATGTTTAGTTCTGTTGTACATGGCTGACTTTACGGCTATTAACACCAACAATCATCTCTATACCACAGATTGTTAAGGAGGGAACCTCACTATAATCCTTTAACCTGACAACGACTATAAAGTGAAATTTTTCATTATTTTTTAATGAAACTTTTATTTTTAGTAACTAAAGTTATGAAAATGTAGGACCCTTATTTTGTGGGCCAAGCCTATAGGATTTTGTGTTGTGTTTTTTGTTTTTAAATTTGATTTATTTATTTTTTGGGGGGTGAAAATATACACAGAAAAAACACACCATTTCAACAATTTCAACATGTACAATTTAGTGACATTGATTATATTCTTCAAGTTGTGTAACCATTCTTGTTATCCAAATAACATTATGAAACAGACTATAAAAACTGACTTATTAAACTTTTCTTTACATAGCCTGCTAACAAAGTAAATTAATAGATACAACAAATGTCTGGAAAAGAGTAAAAATGCTTAAATATAGCAGCTAATGCATGGATAGACTTCAGAAAAATCTATGAAATCTCTAAAATTGTATGTACTAAATTGGGAAGACTTGTATACTCTTGGAATAGGATATATCCATGGCTTTGAAGATTCTCCAAAGACTCTAAAGCATAACAAGAGGTTAACTGCTACCGCTGAGAGGTCAGAATTTAACTTGTCAGTAAAATTTAACATCAATTTCTGTAAATTTTTTCTGCTTTCACTAATTTATACTATTAGTATGGTATTCATATCTACGCTTAGTTAGAACATACTTCTATTTCATTAAGATTAGAAGTTGTGGCTCTTTCCACAAAAGTTAAGTTTTTGGGAGGGTTAAAAAACAACTATCATCCCTAAGCAAATGTCTCAGATTCATAATGCGAAAATAAAGATGAGGTGTACACGTGGCCTAATGTAATCCATCACACTTACTGAAAATACATTATACAAAAAAAAAAAAAGCGCTAATCAATATTGTATAGCCAATGGGCAGTTGATTATAAATACATATATAAAACCCGCTGCCGTCGAGCAGATCCCAACTCACAGAGGCCCTACAGGACAGAGCAGAACTGCTCCACAGGGTTTCCAAAGAGCAGCAGGTGGATTTGAACGGCTGATCTTTAAGTTAACAGCTGAGCTCTTAACCACCGTGCCACCAGGGCTCCAAACATATATACACATAAACCAAAAAACCCCTTACCGTGGAGCCAATTCCAACTCATAGCAACCCTTTAGGACAGAGAAGAACTGCCCCACAGGGTTTCCAAGGAGTGGCTGGTGGATTTGAACTGC